GTTTGTCTTTTTGGGTAGACATATAATGCAATCTTAACTTAATTCTGTTGCCATTTCTTCCACAGGGCTTTTCACTCACTTAACACACAGAATGGACATACGTCTCTTGTATCTAATCAGTAATTCATTTTCTCTGCACTTAGGTCTCTTAGTATACAGTAGCCACACGGTTAAACTAAATTCCTCATCTGTCTTTATTCCTGTAGATTTTGATCTGCAAATAGTAACAAATTTACACTGTCTCACATACAGTCCCTCTGTGTGATATGAGTGTTGTTTTAAAAGTAGAAGATGGTTCTGTAGATAGATGGAAGCAAAAAAATTATTTGTGAGATTTGAATGTGAAATTAAAGGATTGGGGTTTTTGTGTTTCACTTTGCAAAGCATTTATATGTTCAATTCATTTTTGTTTTAGTTTATCTAAACATATTTAGCATGTTCCCAAATCAGATCTCAGGTTTTCAGGAACTTGGGAGACTACAAATACACTCAGTACCAAACAGAATTTTGCTGAAGTAAGTTATCCGTGGACCAGCATAAGCATTATTTTCTTTTTATTTCACATAGTCTCCCTAGTTCATTCGTTACACGTCTTTCAATCTCCCCAGCAAATGAGCAAGATTTATGCAAGCAATAGTCTTTTGACACTGGTTCATTCCCAGAGCAGGTCTATCCTGTACTTCCTCAATTAATAAGATTGATGCCATCTGGTCCACCCATTTTCTCAAAGCAAGATAAACTACACAGGTATCATTCCTGACAGACTTACCTAATCCTGGTTGTACAGACAATCTTAAGATTCAATAAACTTCTCCAACAATTTATTTTAATACTTCACTACCCTTATTATTAGAAAGTCTTCCTAGTATCTAATCTGAAACTTTCCTGTACTGATTTAAGCCAATTATTTCTGGTAGCAATCATCATGATATTCATTTCAGATATCTTTCAGATGCTTTTTACCTATTTGACAGCTGTTATGTGAATCCTCTTTTCTCAAGACCAAACATCCCCACTCCTTGAGCCTCTTTCTCGGTGACTATTTTCTAGGCCTCTAGTCATTCCTATTACTCTTGTTTTGGACTTTTCCCATCTAATTCCTGCCTTATTTGAAAACTTGTTACAAAGCTGGGCAGGGTGCTCTATTTTAAGTGCTGCCACAGGTGTGTGGAACTACTTTGTATGTTTTGTAGATTGTGGTCCTGTTTATATATCCTGGTATGGTAATGTTTTTAATCACCATTCAGTTGTTCATAATGATCACTGGATTTTTCTTTTTCCTTTGGAATGGTGTCTAGCCAGTTGTTCTATAGCTTGTATTTTCACTGTGATTATTATGTCTACCTAAGAGTAGAACATAGCAGTTTTCTGTATTTAATTATATTATATTTTGGCCTATTTTAATAATATGACTATTTTTATTATATTCCTATCTTCTAAAGTTATTCCAGCCTCTTCCATGTTTAATAGGATATCTTTTATTTCATCTTCCAAGCCATTAACAAAAAGACAGAATAGTTCCTTGCAAAAATCCAGTTGGTGTAACCTTCCATTTTACCAGTGAGCCGTTGATTGCTACGCTCTGAGGATCACTTTCAAACAGTTTTGCCCTCACCTTACCATATGGACACACAAATATCATACTTCCCAGTATGGCTTACAAGGCTGCAATGTAAAAGAGCATAATAAGCCTTGGTAAAATCAAGGTACTTGCAATCTAATATATATCTCTGTTTTCTAGAAGTTCTTCCATAGAATGAAATGAAATTTATTATGATTTGCCTGATAAAACCCTGTAGTGTGATCCATCTCTTTTCTGCTTCTAGGTGCCCAGAAATCAAACTTAACAGCTTTTTTTTCTGTAGTTTCTGGGATCGTCTTTTCCTTCCTTATTTATTTTCTTCATCTTTCATTAATTTCCAGTTTAATAGTACTTCTTCACAATCTCTCAGTGGCTACAAGTCTGTTCAGGCAATTCTTCAAGTGTTCAGGGATGTAAATACCAAAGTCAACTAACTGGAGAACTTCTAGACTGTATAAATATTCTCTGAATATCCTTTTCCCTCAACATTGAGATTTATCTCTGTATGCATGACACTCTTGCTGACATATGCCTCCTTTCTGTAGAGGTTTCCTGTGGATTTGAAGTAGTCCAGATGTTTTCCCAAGTTACAGGTTTTACCAGTGTCCTGCTCATATATTCATGGCATGTGTACTGTCATTCACACTTGAAAAATTATGTCAGTTGGTCACAGGAAGTTGCTTTGGGATTTTCTAAAGGTAAACATGTATGTATGGAAATGTATGATATATACCTCAAACTTGGTTTACAAATACAAGAGAAGTTGGAATTGTTTGGAACTTAATGTAATAAATAAAGTGTATCCTGTCCTTGTATCCATGCCAATCAAATGCACACAAAAGTAATAGGTTTGGTTTAGGCTTTAAGACAGGAGGTTTGAACCAGGGTTATATTCCTGGTGTCATTAGCTGCTGATATGAAATTGTCAGAACAGCCTATTGAATCATTTCTGACTTATGCAAGTACCATGATTTTGCTTTGTTTCTGGAGACAAGGAATCTAGCACTGCTGCATGGCTGTCCATAAAATGAGTTCAGCGAGTGTAAAATTCTAGCATACCTGTGAATGGGAATGCTGATTTAGAAGTGTTATGTGTTGACCTTGCACTCAGTAACTTGGGAATTGAGCCTGTGGCAGGTGTTGGGCATTAAGTTTTTCTTAACATGTAAAAAGGCAATATTTACAAATAGAACTGAGAAGACAACTTTAAAGAAAAATAAACCAAAAGGACTAAACTCACCATTCATACCTATTATGTTAGCTGGAGCAACTTTGAAGTATTTACTAGTTACTTCAGCAACTTTCGAGTGAAATAAAATAGAAGCACTGAAGTCTGTAAAAAAGAATCTCTCAAGAAAAGTATTAAAGAAAACTTCAGGGGGAAAAAATAGTGCTCCTTTGTTTGGCACTCTTCATATTCTGATTCTCAGTAAAACAGACCTGAAATGGGTTTATATGCCCAGTTTTAAATGGTGCTCTCATTAAGTTCAGTCACCAACAGGAGTAATCAAAGCTAAAGCACAGACATTTGTAGATTTGACTCCTTGAGCTACTATGATTGGACAATAAAAATTCTCATATCTTAAAAAAGGGAAGATAACTGTTTTCAGCAGAAACGTATTAAATTTGGGCTATGATCCATTCTCCTAACTCTGAAGATTGTTTCGAGTATTGAAATGTGAATTAGGTCATGCACTTTCTGGAAAGAGGTCTGGTGGGCATCATGGCTAGTGCAAGCACTCTGTACAGCCAGGAAAACTGTGCAGGTATACAAAAGGCAGTCAGTTGTTTCGTAGTCAACATAGGCAGAACTGTTTGCTTTGCTTCAATTTTCTGGTCCTTTATGAGATATTAGTGGTATTTGTATAGCTTTCAATTGGAACAGATCTGTTCTTTTTTGTTGAGATTAAAAGATTCTTTTAGCCTTATTGTCCTTTAACTATGCCTTTTTGGCAAAAGGTAGCACATTCAGAACTGAACTATAATGACGATTTTAGGTAAATGCACAAAAATTGAGGTATTCTTTTCTCTCTCTTCTGATGCATCTTCTTTTTTGTGTTGGGAGTGGTGCAAAAAGTTACTTGATAATTCAGTTCAGCTTGTGCTTAATACAGTGATTCAGCTCAGCTTGTGCTTGGTGGAGAACTGCATGACAGTGTGACAGGGTTAGAAGCCCAACTGCATGAAAGGTCAATAAAGTTCTGTGAATTGGCAGTGCTTATATCTGTATACGAGCGGAAACCTCAAGTGCAGTCTTTCAGGAGGCTCTTTTATTCTTACATAGCTACAGTACTCCCACCTGTAGAGAGAGAGAAACATCAGCTTTAGGGTTTGCCAGAAATCCTGATAATTGTGTAATAGTATTGCGTTAAACTGAAGTTAGATACCCAAATGGAAGATGACTCAGGGAATATAAGGCACACATTCTCATGAGATTGTTCTGAAGTCTTGTGATACATAGAAAATACTTCATATTTTCATTTCTTACTTGAGCTGGTTTTCTGCACTTCCAAGTTGTATTTCCCTTAATTGGCTAATGAGACATCTTCCATCCTTCGTTCAAGGATGAAGCATTCTCCATAGCCATTTTCTTTCTTTCCTTTCCTTTTCTGAAAAAGCTCTTTGTAGCTACTCTATTTTCCCCCCCTTTGTTTTCATTTGTGTTTTTCCTGATAATACATTGGCAAAATGTCCTGCAGGAAGACTGTATGTCAAGAACTTTTCTTTTGGAATTCTGAAAAGTTCAGCTTTTCAGTAAGAATGCCAATGTTTACAATAATGTTATTTTCTATGTATGTGGTCTTTATGTTATTTTTAGATGCTGAAACAACAATTCAATTTCCTGGTTAAATTTTATTAATTTTTGTATGGTTTCTGAATTGAAGCTGTAAGTACACAGATCAGAACTGCACAAATTAATCTGATTCTATATCAGAAAAGACTGTCACTGTGCAGAATTCCATCAGGCACAGCTTTCCATTTTATTTCTTACTGCTTTTTACTAGGATACTGTCATCTTAAAGGGAGAAATTAAGTGATAAAGTCCATAATAATTCACTGTTAATAGCTTCCTTGATATTCAATAATGAATATTGTTGCCTTATTTTGTTTTATAATACAAATAGAATCAGTGCAGTCTAATTCTTTTTAGTATGCATATTCAAATCAGTCTAAGACCACAAGTGCATTCATGCTTGAATTGAGCCTGACACTGTAGCCAGATTAGAGAACAAAAACTTTGTACCTGCATCTAACATAATTCTTAGTACAAGGTTAGCATATACTGCGGAAAAGTTTTCCTAGCCCCTATGTCTGCAAAGATTTAAGCACTTCATGAAAGATTGCTTTGAAGTACTTAGAGCTATAATTTTTATTATAAGACGTTTATATTAATGATAGTCATTCTCTCTCCTTACAGTGCAAATTAGACTATCAAGCCTGTGTCTCAGGAAAACAAATCTCAGTGAAATGCGAAGGACGTTGCCCTTGCCCTTCTGACAAATCCACAAACTCAGGCAGAAATGATAGGAGAGGTGAGTGATGGTAATTTGTATGATATTTTTAACTGCTCGTTTCTAGAAGGAAATAAGATTTTGCTCACAGAAGACTACAGTGATCACAAACACTGATTATTCTTGAATAAAAGCAGCTTTATTTTATTCAAGGTTGTTTTCTTTGCTATGGGTTTTGAAATTGTGCCTACAGTAAAATACAACTGTATTTTTCAAATGCAGCTATTGTAGTATGAGTAATTGTTGTTCTTTTTTTACTCTTTACTACTCTTTGAGATACTTACGGCTGTACTTAAGACAAAGAAAATTTCATTCCTTGCTCCTCAGTGTTTTCAATTGAATAATCAAGAAATGAAGTGTGGCAGAAAAAAGGAAGCTTAAAAGTCCTTGTTAGTGCTCATAAGAGCAGGCAGTTACACTTAAACTATGGAACTATTAGGAAAGGCTGTCATATAAAAGTGAGTTCTTTGTTTGACAAGTGTTTGATAAGAATAAATCAGTTTCCTTTTGGGCCATATGTGAGATTAGGCTGCTGGAAAATGAATGAATGTTCTTTTAACAGTGAATAGAGGTGTCCACTGTAAACATCGAGCTCTGTGCAGGCATACAAGTCAATTAAAAAACTGCTCTGAAACACTCCTTTAGGTAACTATTTTGGTCTTTGCAATATCATAGATTGTGTAATTAAACATTAATTGAATATGTGTAATCAAATATTCCCTATGCTATAACCCCTCTGCCAAACAATAAAGCCTTGAGGGTTTTTTAAAGCATTAATTTATAATTTCATGTAGTATCTGTAAATAAATAAATAAATCTGTCATCTGGTCACATTGCCAGCCCAAATGAAAAACACTGGAAGCCTTAGCTAGTAGCCCCTTTGATAAGACTTAGTATAGCATTAATGCTGTTGCAGTTGTCACTAGCAACAACAATTTCTGCATCTCTAGCATAGATGTGGGGGTATTTGCTTAACAGTGGGCATGAAATGAAATTAAGATAATCAGCCATGAAACATCTCCATGAGCAGTAGGCCTACCATTCTCCAGTGTTAGTTTTTTAATATGGTATCATTGCCCTCATTTTTTACCAAAATAAAATTAGCATTTTATTTGCTGGAAGCTGTTTCACCTGATGAAGTTATTTTTATCTTTGTGTGTGTTCTTTCAAGCACATTCTATTTCTGGTATTCCTGTACCTAAATATTGAAAATGTATAGATACATTTTATTGGCTTCAACAAAATGAAATTGTTTTTAATTAGGAATGAACTCTTCTTGAAGGCTTATACTGCCAAAGAATCAAGACTGCTTAAGCTTAGTTACATAGAAGAGAAGGAAAAAAGATCCTATATGAGTACAGGACTTAACACTAGTCCTGTCCTGACAGATTGTGAGGGCAAGCAACATACAGGGCTTTTCCAGCTGCTTTATTTTACTGCAACATTGAAAACGGAATATAATTTCTTTACAAGGCCAAAGGCCAGGAGACATGAGAAATAAGTGAGCTGAGTATCATTACTGAAATTTCAGCCATTATTTTAACAGAATACAAAATTTGTTATAACTTTGTTATAAGAACTTTTGTTGTAAGAATACAATTATTTTCTTAAAATTGAACTCCATTAAGTGTTCTAAGATGTATATGCACATGTCAGTTGCTTAGAAATTTGACGAAGCCAAAGTGGCAAAGTAAGATTAGTGCTCCAGTTTCAGGGAAAACTTAAGTGAGGGTTTCCTAAAATACATCCCATATTTAAGACAAGTTTTAATTTTCTTCAGATTGACAAATTCTGCTGATTTTTTTGTGTACCTAAAAAGCAAAGTATGTCTATAGACATACTGTGTGGAATTTCATACTCCTTTGGGAAGCTAAATTAAACCAGTATTCAGAAAAACAGGTTTGCCTTTCAAAAATGTGCATGAACCTAATTGTAAAATCATAGGAAACTTTTAGTTGGATGTGAGCTCTGAAGTTTACCTAATCCTGCTCTCTTATCAATGCACGAGGCAGGCGCGGACAACCTGGGTTTTGTGAAAGCTGGCTCATTTTAGTGATACATTCAGTAACATTGAACTTGACTTACATGGAGGGGCTGTTAGCTTGAATCCAGAAATGAAAGGGCTAAGAACTTGATCTAGAACTAGATGTATAAGTTGGTAACAAAACAGGACCCTATCTTATTTTCCAGGCATAGCCGTTGCTTTGTCCTATTTTTGCCCTACTCTCCTTTTCAAATATGTGCCAGGATTTGGGGCATCTGGGTCATACTGGCTTTTGCACGCTTGTGACTATAGGGATTTCACTGACTGGAATCTGCAGGTCTTTATTTTCCTAAGCTCTTCAGAATCTTTGTTCTGGTGGTTATGTAGAACCAGAAACCAGGAAGGCTTCTGTGGCATTGTACATTTTACAAGGCTGGGAAGACTTCTATCACCCTGGCAGTGTGTGGGCACCATTTTTTGCTCCAAATAGTAGTTATGATCCTTTTGCTCTGAGATGTATTGAGACTTGTCCCTTGCCTGGCATAGAGGACAGTGGTTTTGCTAGTCCTGCTCTTCAGTCTGATGGATAAGAACAAAAACGCTAGATGCAAAGTGCAGGGTTACCAACTGTGTCACTGAGAGAAGGAGATGAGACCAGCCAATGGGGTAAATGCAGAAGTTGCACACATATTTAGGAATGTGCAAAGTCCTGTTCACCTTTAACACTGTTATGTCTTCACACCTAATCTGCTTTACCCTCTGGCAAATCAGATCACCCATCCTCAACTGCCCAGAAAACAAGCACCGCATGAATACTTTTTCTGCTCAAAGCATCTCTCTGATCTCCAGGATCTCACCTTGCTTCTAGCATCTTTCCAGCAGCCAGGATCTTCACTGTCTTCTTTTGGAGACCCCTTCTTCTTCCTGGGAAGCCATTCTTCATCCAGGAAGGTCCCTACCACCCACCCCCAACACCATCCCTACTGCCATTTTCCCAATCTAAATACTCTATGTGCAGAAGCATAACGTGCAGTAAGCCTCCTAATTGTTAGTTCTGTCCCATATCTCTTTATTTAATGGAATATTTGGGAAATGCCACTTCCATTTTATCAAAGTTTGGACTGGCACAGTTAACAGAAAAGTTAGGTGACAATAATAGAGAAGTAGAGGTGCAGGAGATAAGGCTTTTCTATTGGAATGTTTTCTTGTGTCGTTAATAGATTTTCTTTTTATTTAACATAGCTTGTTTCCTTAAAGTTTGGGTTTTAGAACAAAAATAATTTTCTTGAGTGTTTTTCTGTCATTTGGTACTTTTTGCTAATTTTAACTTAGTCTTTTTTTCAGCTGTGTCTTTTCCCAGTCAACATTTAAGTAACTGTAAATTTTACTTCAGTCTAATTTCCAGTTTTCTAGTCCACTACTGATTCATGTTGGCTTTGTACTGATTTGATTTGAAGCCTATGAATAGATACTCAAATGGACAAATTTGAGTAACATAAGTACACATTGCTAACATTTCTCAAAGAAAGTAAAAACTAAAGTTTTAAAATCCGACTGAAAGAGTGAGGTTGTGGGGGAGTTCTCTCAAATTCTTAACTGATTTCAAGGCTTTGGTAAAGGAATTTTACTGTCCTGTTAGAAAAAAAGAAATATTTCATTTTGTAATCTTAGTAGTTAATAATGGGTGGAAAGCAGCAAGAACAAAAAGTTGAACAAACTGGGGTCACAACTGAACTTTCTGCTTTGCAAGAATGTTTTATTTTGCAGGTTAATATATTCAAAACACTTTTCTCAGGTGCGTCAGCTTCTTTTGATGTTAATGAACATCATCAATGACCGTTGCAATTGCCTACAAACTTTAGTGATACCATGGTATGATCCCAGAAGCATTGTCTTGCTTTTTAGCTTATTTAGTGTTGCTTTTGTTATTTTGAATTTTTAAAAAAATGGAGAATGAATCTCTCTACAGCAGTGTACTCATGTTCTCAAATAAGTGTTTACAATCCATTTACTGAGCATGACATGCTGACAAGTGAAAGTCATTTTGTACTGTTACTTAATTCTCATGTTATAGGTCAAGACCCATGTTTTTTCTACGTAAAGAAACAAGGCAGCCTGAGGAGTATGTGTCTTAGAAATAAGGACATACAATTCTAACTATTTTTATATATTTTAGTTATATATCATTTAATGTAGTGTATATGAGGCTTATATACATAATCTTTGCAATATCATACCTTACATTTTCCAAATGACTGAAAGAGTAGTTCTGGCTTATATTGGATACTGATTGAGGAGTTAGCATAGGACTGTTGTGATCCAGGATTTGGATTAATCTATAATCTCTTTCTATATGAACTTTACCTTGTTTCCAGTCTTAATATTCCCTTGGCTTTCTTTTTTACTAGCATTGTACTTATATTGCCAGTTAAGATATGGAAAATTATTGATATTAGATGGGTATATATTTCTTAGGAAAGTAGAGGTTGATAGACTGAGGAGTTTTATACCCCACCTTCCGGAAAATCAAAAGGGAGATCCCAGACAACAGCCTTCTCTGTGATCAGCTGTAGCATTTAACATCTCTTGAAAGCTGCAGGATGATGTAGAGGAAGGAATATGTCAGTCCCTGAACTAAAATTGTTTCATGTCCATTCAGAAACTGAGATAGAAGGAGATTATTCGCTCTGCATTAAATGATACCATACTCATTGCATCGTTGCAAACGTTTCCTTCTGTTTCTCCCTTACTTCTTATAGAGAGGCTTATCAACTAAGTAATAATTTAAAAAATTGTATAAGATATTAATAACAATTAAAACCTTCAAGATGCAAGATGGTGTTGCTGGACTGTTTTGGTTGGTTGGTTGCGGTTTGTTTGGGTTTTTTTTTTCTTGCCTGGACCAAATACCCGGGGTATTTCTCTCTTCATTGTCACAGTACCCTAACATGAGACATTTGGTAATGCAGGTGACAAAATCCCAGTGGGTGTGTCAGTCTAAAGGAATATGCTCCATGAAGACATACATTGCATTTCT